AATCCTTTATTATAATATAGGCAGGGCCAGTCTATTGATTGTGTGAAGTACAACCGCGTGACTCAGTCATCTTTCACCTAAAAAAGCATTTAAATACCGCATTTAAAATCTGATGAACTCAGTGTACATCTGACCGGGTGACGAGATTTCCTATTGACGCAGCAACCACTGTAAGTTATATTCTTGTTTAATTAGACTTCTCTGTTTCATTTATTCTACTCTGTATAATTGTTCTGTAGTTATTGTAGCTAAAACGGCTAAATCACTTTTGAGAGATTTTAAATCTCAGATCTGCTCAGGCGAAACCTGCTTCACAGGTCTCAGCTCTCAATCCTTTATTATAATATAGGCAGGGCCAGTCTATTGATTGCGTGAAGTACAACCGCGTGACTCAGTCATCTTTCACCTAAAAAAGCATTTAAATACCGCATTTAAAATCTGATGAACTCAGTGTACCTGTAGATGGGACGATAGTTATTCAAGCTTTCAAGAGGGCGATACAAGAGCTTGCTTCCACACAGCTGGCAGTGTGTGAGTGGAAAGGGAGGGATTACAAATATCAGTAACTGGTTGAGCTATAATCTGAGCTGCAATTTAAAAAAAGAAAGGATCCAGTCCGCCAGACTTTGTAGGATCAATTGAGTGCAAACCGTGTAAGACTTCAGAGACCGAGAAAGAAGCAAAATCAAAAACAGGGGAGTTCATCTCTTGACTATGGCTTTCTTGAGGGAAATATTCCGAATGTAATTTAGAAAATCATTAAGTGAGGATTATTGTTGTTAGGAAATGTGTGTGTTTCTTTTATCACATCACAAAATACTGGGAGATGCAAAATAATACCTCCGTATGCAGTCCCGCCATTAAAACAAATAATTTCCCATATACGACCAGCATGCATACTGATCACACCCATATTTTCAGTGGTTTCTGCTGATGGTGGCACATTTTTCTCATACAAGTATCCTTGCTAAGGAATGGTGGCCTATTGTTGTGTAAGTGCAGCCTGTCTGGGAATGGACTCCCCCCAGTGACCAGGCTCAAAAACAGAGAGAGCTTTGTTTTTCAGCCTTGGTAAAAGTGTGAGACAAGCGCCCACACACAACAAACAGGTAGAACTGTCAACGCCATGGCCTTGGACTCAAGGTTTCTTTATCATTGTGAACTATCTTACATAATAGAGTCAACTTTTTAGGTTCTGTATTTGAGGTTAAAGACTTCTGTGGGGTCAATAACAGACCAATTCCTTTTCAACAGAGTAAAGTTACATCTATAAAAACAAGAGTGCAGAAAATATAGGCTTATGACTGAGTTCACCCGCTGCCTTTTCTCCAATATCCCTCCAGCTTGAGCTCCAGCTACCATCCAGATCTAACACTGCTTTCATGTTTGACCCACTTTTACAAGACAGAGACAATGACAAAGAAAAACAGGGACAGAAGGAAAAGGATGAAAAAGACACCGGTGGAGTAGAGCAGGAGAGTCAAAGACAGATGCAGAAATTGGGGAAAGGAGGGAACACATGAGTGGGTGACATCAGCAAAGTGGATGCTAAAGGTATAGAGAGAGAGAGGAAGAGAAAGGGGGAAACATAAGGCAAAGCTTAAGGCGCCTGGGAAGGAGGGGAGTGGGCTGAGTAAGAGGGAGGAGGGAAGCACAGCTTCTCCTAATAAAGCGACTGTATGTGAAAGGAGGTGCTGAAAAGCGTTAGACTGAGCAGAGAGCTGTGTTACCACAGAGAGGAAGAGGAAGAGAGAGAAAGAGAGAGAGAGGGTTGGAGAGAAACACTGAGGGTGAGAGAGAGGGGGAATACAGAAAGGAGTGAGAGGGGGGAAGAATAGAAAGAGCATTGTGTTGCTGCTGAGAGAGAACCCATGTCTGCACAAAGAGGTAGGTGTACTGCTATGACTGGCACACACACACACACACACACACACACACACACACACACACACACACACACACACACACACACACACACACACACACACACACACACACACACACACACACACACACACACACACACACACACACACACACACACACACACACACACACACACACACACACACACACACACACACACACACACACACACACACACACAGGAAATGCTCATCACCCAGATTCACATCATCAGGATGTACCAGAAGTGGGTACAGTACATGTTGAGTATCAGGTGAGTGTGTTCTCTTCTAACTGTGTGACTTGCTTTAATGCATGTAGCATCTGTGTAGCAGTGTGGGGCAGGTGTGTGACTTTTCCATACATGCACTGTAAGTGTGGCATAAGTAGGTGCCTATTTGTGTGTGTGTGTGTGTGTGTGTGTGTGTGTGTGTGTGTGTGTGTGTGTGTGTGTGTGTGTGTGTGTGTGTGTGTGTGTGTGTGTGTGTGTGTGTGTGTGTGTGTGTGTGTGTGTGTGTGTGTGTGTGTGTGTGGTGTGTGTGTGTGTGTGTGTGTGTGTGTGTGTGTGTGTGTGTGTGTGTGTGTGTGCTTCAGCAGGAGGTTTAAAGTATGTGCGCTGTGTTGTTGAGGATAAACGGAGGCACGCTTACAGAGTTGTGTGTTGTGTATGTTAGGTTGGTAAAGGTAAATTAATGTTTGACGTATGATCCAATAATTACTTGTTGCCAAGTCTAATGTGAAAAATAAGAGCAGAGGATCACATATTTTTTGCAGGGCTTATGGTTTGTTGAAGGTTACCATGGTATTGGTGAATTAGAGGAACTTAATACAACCTCAAACTTGTTTCACATAAGACACGAGGCACCTCATGAAGATTAAAGGGTTAGTTCACCAAAGTTACAACACATTATATTCATGGCATGCACATAGTTCAGATTTGAAGTGCTAGTGTTTTTGTTTCAATGCAATTCAATGTCATTCAAAAAACATTCTATACAAATGTAATGCCGTGAGAAGTACAAATTAAATACAATTTACCGCCATCATTTTTTACTCTGAGCCAACTATCCTTTGCACCCAAATGTTTGTTTTAAGCTACTTAAGTATCAGTGCATTCAAGAATGTTTGGACATTCCTGCAAATGTATACTCGACTATATTCAAATGTGATTTTGTTAAGTGGTTGAAACCTTATCAATGACCCTAAACCCTAATCTCTCAAGATAAGGCATCCTTTCTAAACAAACCCTTAAATATCAAATACTCAATTTATACTCTATTTATCGTATCTAAAAACTGGGACAAATAAAACCAAAGTGGTAAGTGGCTTAATACAAGGAAGTGAGAACATTTCTTTATTTGTAATTTGAGTCTTGTCTAAAGCAAAACTAGCTTTGTTCAGTGACATATCTAATATTTAAATAATGAAACTAACCCTCTGTGTACTAGATGAAAGTAAACACCAAATCACAATTGTAAAAATACTGTACACTTAAATTCATTGGTATATTTTCTCTCTAACCAGCGGTGTGCAGAAAGATCCTTTAGAGTAAAATGGCAACGGCTATTTTCTCTCTGCTAAAGGGCCCCAGCCAGCAGGGTCAGAGTCAGAATGTCCTGTATGCAAGGTCACGCTGAGAGGACCACAGACCACTTCCCTGTTGCGACCAGGCAGATATGCTTCCTCTAACTTCGAATCATATGAGGCTGCCATAGGTTCCTTTTTTTATAGGAACTGAGAAACATCGCCTTTTCACAACAGTCTGGCTGAGAGTATGTATAGACTGTTGAGTGTTCTTGTCTCTTTGAACGCTTAGGAAACACAAAAGTTTGCCTGATTAATTGGAAAAACTTGAGGCAATAATCCCAGTGACAACTCAAGGACAACGTTTAGAGACACAATGATGTGTGATGTGTGGGAACAGTGGATGTGGTCATTGTAGAGGATGTTGGGCACTTAAGGATTTTTCGAGGGTATATACGCCTGTGTGTTAAGCTAACGAAGACAATAACATGATCAATGTACTAGACAGAACATAATTAAGTGCATATTCAATGCATTCGAAGATGCCAGCACTTCCTATCCATCATTAAGTGCTTACAATTCAGATTATTATAATGTATTCTTTTGATGGTTGGAAACAATATATTGTATTCATTAGAGCGTAATTGCAGATTTGATTCAATATACATTAAGTACACTATGAAGGTACTACTTCTTTACTTTAGTCTGCATTGAGATATTTTACTTGACTTTACATTACTTTAACATTTAATCATCAAATATCACTTCTCTAATATTGTATGCTGTCCCATCTTTCCTTTTTTCTTTCTCTCTCTCTTCCCTTGATCTATATCTTTTAATTTCCATCCAGTATTTCCGTCATAGAACAGCCCATACTTGTTTACCGAAAGTATAAAGTATTGTATTTGTTCACTGTCGTAATGCTAATGTTACGTAATTAAAGGATTTGAATCACTAGTGTGAGGCAAGTTGTGGTGACTGTCTCCATGCAACACATGCATCGCCTCTTTGCTCACGTACATGTGACCACACACAGACTTTTGACTTATTAGATTCTATCAGAGCAGCACAACAAATGTAAGACCTGCCTGTCAGGGACGTTGTTGTCTCGTCTTGCCCTTATTAAAAAACCACACAGTCAATCTAAGACTGTATCATCCTTTGACTCATCGCTGAGTGTAAAGTACCAAACGTCACAGTATCTGCTGATTCAAACTAATTCCTTTTAGCTTTATATCTATTTCTCCATTGCTGTTGTATCTTTTTTATCACAGGAGATTTATGAGCCTGTAGTTTTAGATCAACACGGGTGGAGACTCATACTGTATGCCCTGTCCTAACAGGGCTTCAGCATACTGCCAATATAAACTCCTAGTTGTTTGCTATGTTGTGTGGGGATGGTACATTGAGCAAACCTATGAACTGTGTATCTCTTGTGTGTGTGTGTGTGTGTGTGTGTGTGTGTGTGTGTGTGTGTGTGTGTGTGTGTGTGTGTGTGTGTGTGTGTGTGTGTGTGTGTGTGTGTGTGTGTGTGTGTGTGTGTGTGTGTGTGTGTGTGTGTGTGTGTGTGTGTGTGTGTGTGTGTGTGTGTGTGTGTGTGTGTGTGTGTGTGTGTGTGTGTGTGTTCTACTTGTAAAAAAACAGTTTGAACTTTAGACTTTTTCAAAATGAGATCATTTGCTTTGGTCTGTATGTTTTATTGAATCAGCAAGGATAGATATACAATTGAGGGATTGGGGTAATAAATGTAGTCAACGGTCATTTTGAGGCTGGACAATGTGTGTTAGGCAGTAAAAATGCATTTGTACTGTGAATGTTATTTTCTGTGTCACATTTGTTGAACATTGTTTTTGTGGGTGTTCGATCTAAACCCTGCTCGTCTAAACAACACTCACTATTACAGCAGGCAACAGGAGTTCATGTTATATCTCAAGTCCCCCTCCAAAACATATTCTTTTTCTTGACAAGCAGCATTTATTTGAACCACACAGTAATGCCTTTTATTTATTAAGTTTGGTAAATAAACTCAAATATTAGCGTTTAGTTTATAAAAATGACCCAAACCGACACACAGTGATAGCAGAGGATATTTTGTTTTGCTTGTATTTTTCCTGACTCCTGTTCCCACCACTATTGTTTTCCCTAATTTCTTAATTTGAACCATCACCTCACCTCACCTAAATACTACATTTGTGTTGACATAAGAGTCGGAAAAGGAAACATTTTGTTGCAAGATTGCATGTGTGTGTGTGTGTGTGTGTGTGTGTGTGAGAGAGAGAATGTGTAGGCTTATTGGTCATTCCTCACTTCTGAACATGACTTGGTTTTAGGGATGATAATAGACTGGCTTTGGGAAAGGCCAAGGGTTTGCGTTAGACATGTAGTTGTGGTCCTTAGGGAATGCATAATGTCAATAGAACTTCTCACAAGTACAAACAAATATATCTATGTGTATGTGTGGCCTACAGTCTGTGTCACTGTTGAGTTCCTCTGATCTCACTTGCTTTCCAGGTAAGCCTTGCTTTCTGTCTCAACATGTTTGCGCCTGTTTTGGTTGGTGCTAACAGCATCACCATGCGTAAGTGGTTACACATGATGAAACAGTCCTTGCCTACTGTAATCTGAATGCAAACAGGTTAAGGAATTTGCCTGGAAACGAAATGTTTCCTGTCTTGTTCAACACATCTTGAGCTTGACGATAACTGAAAGGAAGGGTGAGGTTCAGTTAATTCATGGCGACCTTTACAGCTCTACTTTAAACCGTTTCACTCACAGACTTCTATAATAAAGCAGGGGTTATGCAATTGGCGCCAGCTGTCATTAATGTAGTTGTCAATTAATATCAATGGTGGTTGTTTACTTCACCATCAGACATATCGCAGCTGTTCTCATACATTCTAGCTGTGCGAGGCATGTGAAGACACTGTAAAACAAGTAAAGATGTGTGGAAATCACATGTGGTTTCATTCTTGCTTCACTGCAGCTGCATTGCTTTCGAGGAAAGGCTTGATGAATATGATAATTCCACAGAACCTGACACAGAATGCTGGCATTGCATGATGCAGCTCATCCAGACACAGTTAGTGGTTGGATTTCCACTCCAGTATCAACACTTCATGAGCCTTTCATGGTTCAATTGTGTCTACTAAAGTATAGAAGCTGTTTACGTCTCTTATTTTGTGTTAACTTTAGAATTTCCCTTTTCATAAAAATAGATGGTTGAGTACAGAACACACAGTGACTCGATACATAGCATGTGTCTGGTTCAGACAGCCCCTAGATAATGTTTCAAAGGAGGGTAGAATCACTGTGAACTTTGGTTGTTTGCTCAGTGACATCGTCAAACAATTACAGAATACTTTGCTATGTGTGTGTGTGTGTGTGTACATAATGTTGGAGGCTTTAATCATTCAGATCTCCAGTAGAGGAAAGTTTGCAAAAGATAAGAGATATTAAAAAAAAGTTGACAGTAATTCTCGTGATTGGATGTGCGTATCTTCTGCATGTGAGCAGCAGGGGAAATAACTGAATGGATCTATGAATGGGTCTACACATTTGCAGGCAAGTCATGTTTTAGGGTCTGCACACCCTCACACACACACATCAGCCCATCGACAAACCCTATTCTTCCAACAAACACACACACACACACACACACTCGCAGACACACACAGCCTCAGACAAAAGAAGGGGATTCCAATCCGTCACAGAGATGACATCACAGCCTGCCAGTAATAAAAACAGCTAAACAAGGGAGTCCCCACTTCCCCTCCCTCGTACACATCCCACAGAATGAACAGAGAGAGAGAGTCGAGTTGAGGCAAGTCACTCTCACAAGTTCACAGAAAGAGAGGGAGGGTAAGAGAGAGAGAGTCCCTTTTAAGGGGTTCACATAAACACTTGAGTGCGCTGACACACGCACAAACACACTTAGCTCCGTCTCCATAGTGATCTGCGATAGTGCCCCGGCTTTGGGAGGAAATGCCAAACTCCGTGCTTAAAGGCCGCTCCACCAGAAAGACACACACACACACACACGACTATTATAACCGTCTGTCCGGTCATGAAGGGAAAACCTCTTCTCTCTTTCTCTTATCACTCTGCTACCTCCCTCGGTCCATTCTCCCGTCTCCTTTCCACTTTCACTCTCTTTTTTCTCTCATCCCTCCCCCACTCTCTCTCCCTCTTTCTCTCTCTCTCTCTCCACAATTCTCCCGCTCCCCTGTCAGTGTTAATTTCATTGAAGTAGACAACAGAGGTAAGTTCACTCTTTAGCTGTGCTCTCTAACATGCTCTTAGTTTTAGTCTTTGTGTGCGCTGTGGACAAAGTTCAGGTTTATTATCACTGCTGCGAGTCCTGCTGATGTAGTGCGGCAGAAATACGTGTGTGTGTGTGTCTGTTCTATGTCCTTAGGAAATGTGTACAGTACCTCAGCCAGATCACTTTGCCAGCTGTGATGTGGATCTAGATATTGTCTGCCATTTAACTTACCTTAGGTATCTCACTCTAGCATTTCAAATAGCCTTGCAAATATGGACAGTCAGTTACACCCTTTTTTCCTCCTTTATAAACTGTGGATATATAGTGTCTAAGCACATGTAATTACAATACCATCTGGGTGTGTGTTTAAAATCCTTTTAGTAAATACTGGAAACCCAATGAGTGCCTAGGAAAGAAGGGAAACAAAAGAAAGTAAGCAGACACAGCGATCAAATATACTAAAATAATAACTATAATATAAGGAGGTTGATACTATTAATTATTGCTTGCTAACAGTGTCTCATTGCTGATGTGTTGTTTAATCATAGCAGGTCATCATTTTTTGATTGTCGCCACTTGTTCTCCTGTTTTGTATAAACACTATTCCACAATAAAGGGGTTTCCTTTGAAACTTTTTCCAAAGAGGAAATCTTGTTGATCTTTCAGCATTAGCTGCACACTTTAGCATACGACCATTTCAAACTGCTGCAGCTGAAGTACCTCTTGGCATGACTTCAAGCATACCAAAACAAAAATGCATCTGTAGTCCTGGGTAACCAAAACAACTCAAATAATGGACTTTCGCATACCCCCCGGTCAGACCGTCTCTCATACAGAGAAACATGTTGTGACATCACTCACATCTGGATGCAAGATTGGCTAACCCCCGTTCCTCTTTCCAATGTTTCCCCATCTTTTCCTCTCCGGCAACCCTCTCGCTTCCCCTTCCTGTCCGTCTGTCTGTCTGTCTCTTCGCCCCCGCTCTCAGAGATGAAAGAGATGAACCCCTGGCACACGCCTGTGACCATCATCATCACTGTGATTGGTGTCATGGCGATTGTTGCCTTGGTGACAGTAGCAGTTTTGCAGAACAGGCCCCTCCCCCAAAAGTACAAGGTATGGTTAAAGGAATCTGTTAAAATGTAACAGTAACCTGTTCCCTGTGTGAGCCCACTGAATTACAGAGGGATCTCTTTACAAAGTCCACATGCCAAATATGGTCTGTTATCAATGTGACCTCAACCTTTACGTGTGTTTCTAGAAATACACTACCAAATAAGGCCAGAGGATGTTGATAAGAATTTTAAAACACTGCTACTTTTGGGCACAGATGCAGGCCCACTAAGAGTACCACATCTGTTGCTCATTAAAGTGTTAAGGGTTCTGTTTTACAACATAGTAAAGCTAAATATATTGCTGATATACATGTAGTTTTGGCAACTAGTTTGTCAGTGGGCTTAATGTTTAAACTGCATGTCAGGATGAAAGTCACTGAGCACTGAACATGCATTCCTCCTTGTGTCTCCACTCAAGTATGGGATCGTGATGGACGCCGGCTCCTCCCACACTGCTCTGTATATCTACGAGTGGCCAGCTGAGAAGGATAACAACACGGGAAGAGTTGAACAGACACATCTCTGCAAGGTCAAAGGTACAGTACATGCTGCACACAGTGGTCATGCACAAATGTTGCCGTCAAAATCACAAGTGCGGCCACTATGCATGCCAATTGTTTTTATGTTAAGTCATTGCAGTACTTTGACCTGCTTGTCAAACAAGTTAAAAAATGGTGGCTAAATCGCTGGCTCTCTGTATCTCACAGTATACAGTAGCTTTGGTTTCTGTGGGGACTTTCCCACGCTAGAGCTTTTGTCTTAACATTTTAACAAGAGTATCCACGATAGACACTTTACTTAGATGTTTCTTCTTGAGCTTCTGTTAAGCTTCTGCAATACACCTAGCTGTTGCACAGTTGCCATGGTCTCTCCCATATGGTATTTACTCTCATGCAGCCGGAACTATCTCATTGGTCGCACTTCAAATGTCAAAAGTGACAGAGGTCAAAGTTTAAATAATTTGAGATTTGAGCACAGCGCAGTGTGGGTACCACTTGTGTTCAGCACTGCTCCCTCCATAGGGAAACAATGGAAGAGCCATCACAGAGCACTTTTATCGCTGATCCATGATCTGACCATTAATCTGATTCCGATAAAAAACGCTTTAAAAAGCCATTTACGGCCAGAATGTATAAAAAACGAAACATTTACAACCCCGCACCATAGGATTGGAATAACCTTTCATTTATGATTTAATCGATATGATAATATGGTAGCTGAATAAAAATCCCAAAGGTCAAGTCTGTTGTTAATTAATAAATAGTCATAATTGCAGATAGCTATTGCTATTTGGGTCAGATGATTGATGACAAGGCAACACAGAATAACCGTGGCAACAAAAAACATTGATAAGGATGAACTAGAGCCAGAAAGTGTTTCGCCTGTTATGGCTTACATTTAAGATGAAAGGTTTACTGTTAAAAGAATCAGGTAAGAGAAACCCATCACTTGCCGACTATAAAGTAATATCATAAATAAGTGTATAAATGAGTGCTCCACACCAAATGATTTATTATTCATAAATAATGTCGTTAGTAACAACATAATTAGGAAAGTGGTGCATACAGTACCATGCCTGTGTTATATGCATAAATGTGTAAAGTCAATTTACATTTTGCCCACAAACCTGCAGTAAAATCCAATTGTGTCCAAAGTGCCTCAGTCTCAAGGCAACATTCTTATGCAACGTTAATTATTAAAGCTCTTTTAAATACACGGTAAAATAGAACGCTCTGTCAAACTGACACCTACTGTTACCTCCTCTGCTGTAAATGTAACTCCTACTGTATGTACCGGTAATTTGACTAGGTTATAAAAGCCAAGAACATTTTCATAGTTGCTAGACAGTGGATTCCTGTAGATAAAAGGGCACACATGCTTCTCTGAGTAAGATTTGCTTACACTTTAGAGCCTAGCTGTTTTACTGAACATATTAAACAAATAAAAATGTCGATTCAACCATTGTAATTGTTAAATTGTCTAGAATGAATGGCAAAGATAAGGTATTAAGAGGGGTACATGCTTACAGGAAGCTGACACCTTGATAAACTATTCAGCTTTTTCCCCCGATAGCAACTTCCTTGCCAATTTATGGGTTTGTACAGATGACATTCAGTTCTAAAGCAGGTTAGCATCTCTAAACTCAAAGCTTCTCTTGACATTTTGTTTTCTTTGCAGGTCCAGGTATCTCCAGCTATGCGTCTGCTCCAGTAAAGGCGGGAGAGTCTCTGAGATTATGCATGGAGGAGGCCAAGCAGTGGGTGCCCGGAAAAAGACACCACCAGACCCCTCTTTATCTGGGGGCCACAGCTGGAATGAGATTGCTAAAGTACGACACACATGTGCAAACACATCCCCACAGTCCACCGTAAAGCATGCACCAACAAAAAGCAGCACAGCATTCGTTTTCATGATCACACTGGTGTATCCCTAGCTTTGACTCTGTAATTGTGTTTGCACTGGCAGTCAAAGTGCTTCTATCTGTAGTCTTTTCCATATGCCTGCTTTGTGATTTATCTCCATATGAACTTTACTGCCAGAGCAGCGAATATGTTACTGTCAACTCCATATATATACGACAGTCAATTTATTATTTATGTGCTGCGGTATTGATTTGAATTATGGCTGTGAATCAGTCTAATGAATTTGTGTGTGTGTGTGTGGTGTGTGTGTGTGTGTGTGTGTGTGTGTGTGTGTGTGTGTGGTGTGTGTGTGTGTGTGTGTGTGTGTGTGTGTGTGTGTGTGTGTGTGTGTGTGTGTGTGTGTGTGTGTGTGTGTGTGTGTGTGTGTGTGTGTGTGTGTGTGTGTGGTGTGTGTGTGTGTGTGTGTGTGTGTGTGTGTGTGTGTGTGTGTGAAGTATGGCGAATAGCTCGGCATCAGACAAGGTCTTTCAAGCTGTGGAGGGCGCCCTGCAGAAGTTCCCCTTCTCTTATCAGGGAGCGAAAATCATCAGCGGCCAGGATGAGGGGGCTTTCGGCTGGATCACGGTCAACTACTTGGATGAACGCCTGAAACAGGTCTGGAGGTGTATGTAATGCATGTGTCCTCTTTTCATGTGCTCTGTTTGCTTTTACTCTACACTGACTTCAATGCTTTGTTGTCTTTCCTGCAGGGTTTGGAAACTAGAGGCGCCCTTGACCTCGGTGGAGCCTCTACCCAGATTAGCTTTGTTTCCGATAATTATGACGGTTCAGAATCACCTAGCAACTCGGTGACTTTCCGTCTCTATGGAAATGACTACAACCTGTATACCCACAGCTTCCTGTGTTATGGGAAAGACCAATCCCTAAGAATGATGCAAGCACACCAGTCTCAAGTAAAGTTCAGATTTTCCTTTCAATTAAATGTGATCTTATCAGACAAGATTTAAAAGAGACATAATATGCTCAAATGTGCAATGTTGCTGAGTTAAACGTAATTTGCTCCTTCTCCATATTGCCCTCTCTCCTAGGCAGGTCCAGCAACAGTATTAGATCCTTGTTTCCACCCTGGCTACACCGCGACAAAGAACTACTCGGTCCTCTACGACAGCCCCTGTGTGTCAGACAGGAAACCCAAAGATGCTCCTGATACCTTCACTCACATCGGGATAGGAGACTTCCTGCAATGCCAGGCAGCCGTAAAAAGTGTCTTCAACTTTACATCCTGCAAATACAGCCGATGCTCTTTCAATGGGGTCTTACAGCCACTTTTGCAGGGGCCATATGGGGTAAAGTATTATTCAAATCAAATAAAAACATATGTTCTCCTATATTTCTAGTGGTATCTAGCTATGCAGATGTGTGTTGGTTTTATTGCTGCCACCACACCAATACTGTTTGTGAATGACTTTGTGGGGCACGTTGAATTTCTCAGAAACACTCAGACATCACTGTTGTGAGGGAATAATTCTCCTTTACTCCTAAGATATTTAACCCTTTCTGTGTGTTGACGTTTACGACCAAGCCTGGCTCTGTTATCTCTCTTAAGGAATGGGAGACTCCAGCTAGAAAACCAGTTCAACTCTCGGTCACGAAATGGTTTACGGCTGTGGGAACACTGGCTTTCTAAGCTCCACAGATATTTACGCCTCCCCCAGTATGCTCATTAACTCTCTGTAAACTAGTTAAAAGGTCTATTGAGAGATTGGGCAGAATTGACATGGCAACCCACCTGTGCAGTCAGAACCTTTTGCTGCTGTGACTTGTGATATGAATTCTCCGGCCGTATCCTTGCAATAAACTATCATTGTTTAACATCAAAGCTCCAACTCTCCTCGTGTCTCTCTGAGTCCTGACTCTCCATTGCTGGAGAAGTTTCCCTTACAACTGTATGGACACTTTTCCTTTAAACTACTTTCTTCCAAATGTATATTTTCAAGAGACGTTGGGGTTGAATTGCCTGCTCTATAGTTACAGCTCCTTACAAAGAGAAATAATGTCCATGTGTCAGTGAGGATAAAGTGTTTATAAAATGATTTGCTGAAGATACCAGGCCACCAAGTTCACTTTGCCTCCTCTCCCCCTCTCTCTGTAGGCTTTCTCAGCTTACTACTTTGTGATGAACTTCCTAAATCTGACTGATACATCCGTCCCACTGGAAGATGTCAAGGAAAAGCTAAAACGCTACTGCGCTACCAATTGGGATCAGGTCGGGGCATATTTATGCATCAGTTCCACACACAAAACAAATGTCCTGTCATATTTCTCTGTTTTACTGTCTTATCTATGTCCTGCAGCATGCATATACAGTACATTGATAATATCAATGCATTTGCTTAACTGCTTTAACAGATAATGCAGCAGCATCCAGAGGTAAAGTTAAAGTATCTGGCTGAGTACTGTTTCTCTGGCACGTACATCCTAACCCTGTTGACGGAAGGTTACAACTTCACCTCAGAGAGCTACTCCGACATAAAATTCATTAAAAAGGTCAGTAGATCACACTCCACTCTTTTCCTGTCTCACAAACCACAAAGCATCAACGCCCTGTGTTGGTTTTTGTGTGTACTTCTGTTTTTCTAAAGACCTAATTGAGATGAGGAACTTCCTATTTTATGCTTAGGTTATATTCAGGTTCCAGTTTGGCTGTCCCACATCCTCAGCCTCCACATTACCCTCTGTTTAACCACATGGGAGACCACTCAGCACGTATTCTACTTAAAACATTGTTTTTAATAGCATTACATATAGCTAAAATGATTATACTGGATTGCTCACTTAAGAAAAATGAACTTACCATAATCAAGCACTGGCTCAGCCTAAGACAAAACAGGGCTGAGGTCTGGTTTCAGACGTTGTCTGAAACCAGACAACGTCAAACAATAACAAGTCATATGATAGGTGCTTCCTGTTCAGAAGAACACAATACCGTCAGGAATTGATTGATATAGTAAATGGTTATAGAGTTACATTCAACAAAAAGGCTCTGCTGTTTGAGGGAGCTTTTATATAACTTAAATGGGAGATGAGAGAACTTGTTTTTTCAATAAAGAAACTGCTGAAGTATCATACATTTTTTTATATGAAATAGAAAAAGCAATAACATCCTAAAAACAAATCACATGACATGAAACCTATTGAAAAAACCTAGTTATTTAAATTTTTTGAATGTTTATCTAGTTTACTTTTTCTCATAGCTCCTTTTGCTCGATGTTGTATAACTCATCGGCTGTTTTAAAAGTGTTGTTCAGGTGGAGCGTTAGAGTAACTTTTTAAGTGTTATGTAATAATAACATCAACAAATGTTATTATTAGTAGTAGGCCTACTATAATTATTGTTGAAAATAAATTAAGTTTTTTTAAAAATGCAAACATGTTATCCAGCAACATACAGCGCATGCATGAAATTAAAGCTACATGCAAGCTATTTCAAGCTAGAGGCCACAGGGGAATGCTGAACCCTGAAATATAACAACGGACAACAATGAATGAAAGCACAAGCAGAACAAGAGCAAAACCACTTACCGTAGACCGGGAATGATAGCGAGTGGCAATGAGAATCCCCTCTGAAATGGTAACAGAGAGTCTGACAGATAGACAACACGCTGCAACTAAAGTTGTCTAAAGGACCACAGTCTTATAACACAGCAGCGAGAAACGTGAAGTCGTCCAAAAACGTGAAGCCCAGGCAGAAGCAGAAAACGCTTTTAACATGTTTATGAAACGTGTCTGGTTGTAATGGCCGCGCTCGCTGCACAGCTACGTAATAATTGGACGTTACTTGTCAGTTGTAGCCAATCAGCAGAGAATGAGCTCGTGATGGGGGATCTACTGACAAGTGTCAGATAAAATAATTTGCATGGATAAATCGAAATACTAGGTATATTTCAAGCTTTTAATGCAAATAAGTTATTGGGATTTTTCTATCAACTAAGATTTGTTAGAACATGTTTTTATTTTTATTTTATTGACTGAACTTATTAGAAAATGTGGCTTATTAACACATGAATACTGTAATATATTCAAACAATATAAGACAAGCACAAGTTGCATGTGTGGGTCTTATTCAATTGTACTTCTAGAATTTGCCAATTAAAAATGGACCAGGGGCCGCAGTTGGCCCCGGGCCGTAGTTTGGACATCCCTGGTTTAGGGTATGGGTTGGGTTTATAATCAGGGGTGCACATAACTTTTTTGCCCTGGTTCTCAAAGGAGCACCTGGAGATGTTGCTTGGTGCTCATCCTTAAAATGAAATAAACCGTAACTTTTGAGGGGGTCTTGACTTTATTTGCCAGACACACGGCACTGAACACACATGCAGAGGTGAACACAGAACACACATGCAGAGGTGAACACAAGACAACATTAGCACGACCAGTCACAAGCTGTCATCACTACCCTCCTGACTGTTCTCCTCACTGTCTTCCTCTCTGTCAGACATGGTAGCTGATGATGTAGTCCTACTACTTTCTCTCTGGTTGAGTCTGCGGTTAGCTGCTTGTTGAAAGTCTCTGTTGTCATCTTAGAAAAGTGGATGTAATCAAATAAGTATGTGAACATAACCAATAGCCTACCATAGCCAATAACAAATTAATGTAACTTATTTTATTTGTGTTGTTCATTCATATCTTATTTTACCTTAACATTTATTTATTTATGCATTTTTTTTTTATCTCGTTTTAAAGGATATTTTTGGTTACTGTCCTATAGTATACATTGGAATGATTTAAAACCTGTTTGTCCCAATAATTACAAAAGAGTGCCTTGGAAATATGTGTTTACATAAATTGTGACCAAACCGTTTGAATTTAGACTAAGAGTCCTTTACCTCACTGAGCTGTAGTTAACTTATCAGCCTCTCAGTCTGACTGGAGAGGACTCTCCCTCCACATTATTGTAGAAACATCTTCTTCTTATCTCCGTTAGAGCAGCTAGCACGGCACCAGATTATAATAACAACAGCGCTGGTACCACCCTCCCTCTCTCCCTCGCTCACTCGCATTTTGTCTGTGAGCTGCGGGCGCCAGATAAGCCAACATCCCCCATTTTCATCACTTACAGCGCCCATCGTACAGGGCAAATGAAAGGTGGAACCGGGGTGAAAAGGGTGTTACATTTACTTAATTGTGAATATTGTTACATCAAGGCCGAAAATTAGGATGAGCCCCAACGGTCAAAATGTTTTTTTCCCTCCCAGAACTGCCAGCGCAGCGCCTCCCCAGATCTGGCGCCTTAGGCGAACATCTAGCCAGCGCTACGGGCCGGCCCTGAGTTCATATCATGGTTCATATGCAACTCGCAAATATCTTTTTCTCTCTCTCTCTCTTCTCTCTCTCTCTCCTCTCTCCTCTCTCCTCTCTCCTCTATTTTCTCTTTTCTCTTCTCTCTCTCCTTCTCAATGTTGGTACGCAAATGCGCTTTGTTTCAAATGACCCGGTGCTCTTTTTTTGGCGCACCAGTTATGTGCAGCCCTGTTTATAATTCACTTGCTCTTTCATTTCCCAGAGAGTGAATTGGAAAATAAAGAAATATCTCTATCTAAATGTTCACTTCCACACAGTGGCGGCGCCAGAGATTTTCTATGGGGTAGCTTGACGTTTCATAGAGGGTGCTCAAACATTAAGGGTTTCCCATTAATGTACCAGCGCTACAGTTGAATGTTCTACTGCAACACTCCCCCCCCCCCCCACACACACAGTGCACCCGCGACTGTTACAATGAAAGCTCGGTAATCAGCTCACGGCATATAGGTGTAAGCAGGGGTAAAGTGCTATTTTTACAAGTGGGGGGTGGACCTAACATCCTCTAGGAGGGTCCTCACCTCCTCTAGTGGGGTAGGTTAAATATTGAAGTTAAAAGCATCAATCTGGTGCACTTTGAGAGCAACATGAAGAGATCTATGGATACATTTCTCAACATACATATGAAACAGAACTGTAAACAGATTTTCTATTTCTTTATAGATATTTTACAAATCACTCCCCTTTTAAAACAAACCGTTTGAGACCCACTGAGATAACTAGACTAAAGTTAACTATCTAAACACTGAGAGTCCTTTACTTCACCTGAGCTGAGGTTATCTGAGACTCTCAGTCTGACAGGAGATAGTTCTCCCTCCACCTTGTTGTTGAAAAAGCTCCTTATATCCGTTAGCTTGGCTAGCTAGCACCAGATGCTAACCACAACGATCTCCGGTAGATACCCACCGGTGCGGGAGCTCTCTATCTCGCTCGCTTGCGCAGGCACACAAAATGGCTCGTGCCACACACACACAGAGCAGAGCTTGAATGAAACACAGAGACCCAGAAGTAAGCTACTTGTACTCACGAGGCTATTATGTGCAGAATCCCTCTCGCTTTCAGTTGGTTTTGATTGAGTGTCCACACGTGGACGTAAAAAACTATCCATTTGTCACTTTGCTGTTAGCAAATAATTTGGGGCTCCAGCTAACAGGAAGTCACTCAAGTGTCACAAAGTAATTTAGCCTATGGGTAGGTCAAAAATCTAATGGGTGCTGGCCATTGGCCTAATCATATCACCTGTGTTGGCTTTATGTTTTTGGTCAAACATTTGTTTGTTTCACATTTGCATTGATGTAATCAATAATTTTTCTGATTTAATTTAATAAAAATAATAATAATAATTAAAAGAAAAGAAAAAAAAACATATTTCTTGGGCGTGCTTAGGGGGTGCTTTGGCAATCCTGGAGGGTACTTTAGCACCCCCTAGCTCCACCCTGGCGCCGCCCCTGCTTCCACAGTAAGAACGTTTCCAAGCTGTCCTGGCCTGTGTTACATCAGTGACAGTTTCCTCTCTTCCTGTGTTGTGTCCAGATAAAAGGCAGCGATGCAGGCTGGACGCTGGGCTACATGTTGAATCTGACAAATATGATTCCAGCAGAGGCGCCTGACACCCCCCTTCTGCCCCACCCGGGCTACGTCTCAGTAGTTTCCGTCATTGCAGTGCTTCTATTCATCCTCTTCATCGTCAGCCTGCGTCCTCTCTGGCCCCGCTGCTCCAAACAACCACAGATTGTATAAACACGAGAGACGGTGAGAGAGGGAATGTCTAGTGGGCTTTTGAGTGTGTCCCCGTTGGCTTTTATGCCAGTTTGGGAAAAGGATAGTCAACTCTACACTTTACTGCTTCCCCGGGGAGGTCAAAGGTCAACCCCTGCTGCACGTCAACAGTCCTGCAGCTCATGTGGATTCAAGGACATTTCAGAAGGACAAATACTTTCTGTACACTTTATAAAGAGTGCGTTTTGGTTCTCTGGTTGAAGGACAGTTTATGTGTTTGTGTGTGAGTGTGTTTGTTGAATTTGAATGGGCGTGCGAGTGTTTGTGAACCCATCGGTCTGCATGTGTCTTGAAATATGATGTGAATAAATAAAATATCCCAAATGTATATAAAATGTTTGAATAACTTGTAATTTGTAAACAAATATATAATTAATTACAAAATGTTAATTTTGCATGATTTATTTATACTCTATCCAGAAAGCTAATTAGATATTTTTATAAAAAAACTACCATTACAAATGAATACTTTCGAATAAAACCCACAAACAAGCATCTGATAGTGAAAACAGGAGAAATATGATTTTTGGAAGACATGGTAGGCTATATCTTTTTGAGAGCTGTTTTGCAAAATAGCAAGTGCACTGGATAATAAAATACAGCATACTCCCTCTCCTTCAGTTGTAACAATGACACATTCTTCAATAATAACATTTTTCATGAAACTCTCCTCTGGGCAGCATGAGGTTAATTCCCAGTGACAATAAATATTAAACAAATATTTTGTGTTTAGAATGAAAGGGCTGCCCTCTAGTGGCAATGTCCTCACATTGCAGTGTTGTAACCTGAATAATTTACATTCAGTTGCCAGATCATAAAGTACATCTAGCTGAAACTAATAAATTAACAGTGCTTAATAATCTTCCCTTCATTAAAATGGTTACAATACTCCGTTTTTGGGGAAACAGTGTTAAATCAACTGTATGGTCATTATGGTGTCTGTCTGCAGTGTGCAGTGTTTTTGAAGTCTATTGTGTTACATTGACATTATTTTTGACCCAATTAATATCAATGATCATGTAATATGTGCGCATAATGGACTGTAGGCCAACTGATTGTGCGTCTGACTCCCTTGGTGCTGCTTGAATACATCCAACAAGGCACATTTCCTATGCAAATACCATAATCGACTGTATTAAATGCTAAAAGCTGATGTGAAATCCTATAGAGGAAACTGTGCCACTTTGGAATGAAGGCATCAAGACATTGGCAGGAAGTGGAACCATGGTTTCCCTCCGTTTGAGAGCCTAGCCCTTCCTCTGTGTCACAGATAGCTCTTATCTGCAGGGAATGGAGCTACAGGGGAGAATAAGAAAACAATGGCATCCTGATTCTGTGGGTGGTTCCTGCTTTCACGCCACAAATGTCTGTTGGTATTGGCAATGGCAGGAGGCCACTTTAAGTGATTAAGCGACCCAGCTTACATGTAGATTTAAACACAAGTGTGATCAGGCTAACACATTGAGGTCAAAGCTGGTATGTCATCAGCAGTCATAAATAGAGCACAAGTATATAGCCCATTCCCTTATATACAATATATTGTTTCCCAGACTGTCATCTCAGTTTATTGTCCACAGTAGGGGATACTGATACTGCAGAGTAAGGTGTTGACTTGTTGTCCCGCTGTAGGGAGGCAGCCTGTTCTGACACAGACGGGATGACTGGTATGTGATTCGTCACGTGATCCGAGGTTTCGCTCAGCTGGTCGCTGTTGATAATGTTGGTAGTCTCGGAGTCCAGCTCTTTCACTTTCTCTTGGTAGAATCTATGACTGAGGTGTTTCATCTGGGGAAGCTCGCAACACGTCTCCAGCACCACCAGGACGAACACCAAGCCTATCAGCAAGTAGACTGGAGCAAACAAACAGGGAGTGTGATGAAACAAAGACCAGTGACTAATGCGATCAAATCAAGGTCTGGTCGATAAATAAAGGGTGTAATAGCTAGTGCAACAGTTGCTTTGTTTAACCATGTCCATCAGAAAAGCTAAAGGGTAAGTTCTGAAAAACATGTTGAACTTGGAGGCCTAACCTAGGAAATCACAAGTCATATGATAGGTGCTTCCTCCGTTCAGAAGAACATAATACCGTCAGGAATTGATTGGTAAAATGGTTATAGAGTTACATTTAGCAAAAAGGCTCTGCTGTTTGAGGGAGCTTTTATAGAACTTAAATGGCTGAGAGAACTTGTTTTTTCAATAAAGAAACTGCTGAAGTAACGTACATTTTTTAATATGAAATAGAAAAAGCAATAACATCCTAAAAACAAATCACATGACATGAAACCTATTGAAAAAACCTAGTTATTTAAATTTTTAGAATGTTTATCTAGTTTACTTTTTCTCATATGTAGCTCCTTTTGCTCGATGTTGTATAATAGGTTGTTTAGGTGGAGCTTAAGAGTAACTTTTTAAGTGTTATGTAATAATAACATCAGCAAATGTTATTATTAGTAGTAGGTCTAAGCTAAAGGGTAAGTTCTGAAAAACATGTTGAACTTGGAGGCCTAACCTAGGAAATCAATTGTCAATGATATGTTGGTGATCCCTCATCATTTAGTCTAGCACCATCATAAGGTCAAGATTTCAACCAGTCCAATACTTTAGTTTATGACCAAATTAGTCATTTGCATGTTACCATTAGCCTCATCTATTCTTTGCGTTAAGTGCTTATTATCAAACTTTAAAATGCTGAAATGTATAAAGTAGATACACAAGCTAATGGTAAGCAATACCTGATAAACATCAATATATTAACACTGTCATTGTGAGCAGGTTAGCATGCTGATGTTAGCTTTTAGCTCCATTCCCAGCTATATGCTAGCATTGCTGCATGCTGTGAAAATTCACTTCTCTGGACCTTTATAATTATCCTGTTTAATCAGAGAAAAGTCACTCAGACACATTGCTGAACTACATTTGTTTCAACAGCTTTTGCAATGACAGCAACACAACTGTTGAATGCGACCTGTACAATTATAAAGATTGTATTTTTCTTGAGATGGAATAGCATTGTGCATATTATCTGGTGAAATACCTGTTTTTTCACAGTCTATTTAAAAAGCCAACAAGTTTTTTTTTCAAATAACTCTTGGTTGAATGGTGTCTCAATAAATCTTATCTAAATCAATGGGTGAATGGCTTTCATTTTCCATTGTCAGAGAGATTTCCACCTGACAGTAATGGGAGTACATCAGCCAGTCTACTCACTTGTAATGGCCAGCCTGTAGAGAGTTGGGTGTGGTATGGCCTCTTTACTATGGGTCTCCCCTGGGACATAATCCCCAAGGCCAATGGTTGTCAGAGAGATGAAACAGAAATACAGAGACTCCAGAAAGTCCCAGTCGCTCTCCAGGCTGACAAAGATCCATGCAGGGATGATGAGGAAGAGCAGGGCAATGATGAGGGCAAGGCAGGTAGCATGTATGGCGGCTAGCTTTGATTTAGACATGGCCCATCGACGGTGGAAATAAGACACGGGACGTCGAGTCACCACGGCCATGATCCTCTGAACCACAACAGTGAGGAAGAAGAGGGTAACAGGTATGCCAAATATGGAGTAGACGATACAGAAGGCCTTCCCTTCATCTGAGAGAGGTACCGAGTGGCCATAACCTGAAGACACATCAAAACATGCAGCGAAGACTTTATTACAGGTTGTTAAATTACAGGTGGGATTCTTCTCAAAGAGCTACTTATAGCCTGTTACACATAACAATAATTAGAGAGAAGGAAAGACAGAGAGAAAGACAGTCTATTCATTATGGAGAGTCAGTGGAAACCATTCTAATAAAACCCGATAATGATGTCCTTATAACATCTCTAAAGCTGTTTCTGCTTTTGGACATCAAATAGAAAACTACATAGAGTATATATACTGTTTGTAGTTTTCTATTTCGAGCGTTCAGGTTAATATAAACTGTATATACAGTTTATATTAACCTGAACGCTCCCCTGGTGTCGGGGTGATGACTTTCAAATAACCTTTTTTGCTGCAAGCTATTCACAATCATTTACAGTGACATATTAGTGCCACTCTGTAAATCACAATGTAATAAAGGTTTATGACCATTAACTAACAGCTTTATATATAAGTTATTATTTTTGTATACGAAACTATGGGCCTCTAATTAAAACACCTTTTTTGATTGCAAGCAATGAAACAAATTATTAAGGAAGTTATTTATCCACTACAGGGACAAAAGTATTTGTATTGATCGATTTTCAACCATTAATTAAACTTATTAACCCTATTTGTATATGCCTCGCTATGTGTATTGAGCCATTAGTCTATAGTTTGAGGAAGTATTCAGCTATTTTCTGCAAGGTAGCTTATCAATAACAAAACATCATCATCGTTGATTACACAGTATCTTTGATAGAATCGGCATGTAACCAATGTTGTCAGTATGGTATAAAAACAATATTGAATTTCAAAATGCAGTGTGTAAGAAGTGGGTCCTATAAAGAAGGTCTAAGAAAAAAGAAGAAGCATGACCGAGCTGTGGGGGTAAATGTACTTGTGTATAGGCTATGAGTTACATTCCACAGCAGGTTACAACAGAGAAAAGGTTCATAAAGATTGACTTTTCTACATAAGGACAGGCATGGGCTCATTCAGGTGTTATACATGTGCCCGAGGCTCACCTGTAGTGGTCAGCACGGTGCTGGTGAAGAACAGGGAGGAAACAAAGTCCCAGTTTCGGTTGGTGTCGTTTCCCAGCACGGACACCCCATAGTTACTGGCCTCCAGCGCACGGGCCAGCAGCTCCTCCAGGCGCGCCTCGGACACACAGGGGTTGTTGCTCAGGAAGTCCTGCTGGGCCTTTCGGAGCTCCCGGCGGAGCTCCTGCTCGTAGGGCAGCTCGATGGCGGAGAAGATCCCGGCGCCGATTAGGAGGTAAAGGATGTAACCGACAACCAGAAGCGCAAAATTCAGCGCGGACTGGTGCCGATCCATAAAGCGAGCGCACCAGCCGCGGGTACAGCTGACCACCATCCCTTATTAAACGTTAATTTATCAATAAATGTAGTTTCAATCAACTAGACGTCAAGCCTGTTTCTTCACTTGTATCCTCTGTCTACCCGGTGGATGACCTCGTCTTCCTCATTCTTCACCTCACTGAGGCGTTGGTGACGTCACTTATTCACCGCTTCAGGTGTGCATGTGTTTTTTTCTGTCTTCCTGCAATCCTTTCTCCAACCGGTTCAACAGGTCTAGTGTTTCGAGTCATTACAAAGGATTTATTTTCCAACCAGGGCTCAAGGGTATCTTCAGAGACACAGGGTAACCACTGTTATATCTTTTGTATGTGTAGGGCTAACCTATACACCACAC